CCAGCCAGGCCTACACCCAAGAGGAACCAAAATGGTCACAAAATGGACGACCACTCACGGGATCTCTCACTTTTATAAGTTCTGGTCCTTTTGCATATTGGAGTTAATTGTCCAGTTACAGCTGTAGCCCATCAAGTCCCATCCTTCTTGTTTTTCTCTCTTCAGCCCATGTTGTTTATGCTTTTGGGCCTGAAATTTGGATAATTTCTCCTTGGTGCCCAGGTAGAGAAGGAATTGTTTTGTCTCTCTGCTCTGTGCAGAGAGCTCACCATCCCCTAATACGAGGCTCAGAACTACACACTAAAGCAGCACAGAATCTGAAAAATAAAAAAACTAAAAGCTGAGGCATAACAGAGAGAAGGATGTTGTGAGGACCAGGTCAAGGGCTTTACAGAAATGACATCCAGAACCTTTCCCTTGGTCACTCCATCACAGAAAACCACTGGGGTGTTCAGGCAGAACTTGCCCTTGGTGAAGCCGTGCTGGCTGTCCTGAGTCACCTTCCTGTCCTCTGTGTGCCTCATTGCAGCTTCCAGGAGGATCTGTTCTGTGATCTCCCAGCCACAGAGGGAAGGCGGACAGGGTGGGAGTTCCAGCACTCTCCACCCTCTTTAAAGATGGGCAAAAATGTTTCCTTTCCCAGTTACCTGGGACTTGCCCTGACTGCCAGGACTTTTCAAATACTTAGAGAGAGGCTTGGCAACTACAGACAAATCCCTCAGGATGTATCCCATCAGTTCCCTTAGACTTATGTACATTCAGGTGTCATGAATCTGATTGTTACTCACTCTGGGAAGCATTTTTGTTACAGCAGTGGGAAGATTATGATTTAAGCTATCTCCTAAGACAAATATTAAATATATTTATTGTTTTTTGGCTTTTTTTTAATATAAAATGAAGGCTTGGTTTTTTTCAGTTTAGACGTGCTGGGTTCAGGCTAATGGTAATTGCCAAAGTGTTTCAGATGCTTCTCATGCACAAAGTATGGAGATTAATTGGATTCTGGGTTGGAAAAGAATGAGGCAAAGTGAAGTTTTCCCTGTAAGTAAATACTGAGCAAAGTGCCTGACTACATTTCACTATACATTAGTCCATTAAGAAGCAGATTATTTCTTCTCATAACAGTCATTTTCATGCATACACTTAAGTGACTTTTAGTCTTGTCTTAGAGGTAGTGAAATTCTGATGTTAATTTTGTGCTGTTGTTTGAAGAAATGAAGCACTAATTGAATTCATAAACCCCAACCATAATTTCATTATCCATAATCACCAACGGATTATTCATTTAATAAAGATAACACTGTGTCTTTAAGAGCAGTCAGCATCTTTTGTACATTTGATTTGAAATTGACTTTGTTTATAGACAGAGAAGTTTGATTTTTACATTTCTATGCAATTTAAAAATGGGGTTTCTTTTTAAGTATATTGTGGCTGCTATTAGTGCATATAATGCAGTGTTTGTTCAACTTGTCAGGCCATTAAATTTAAGGTGAAAAAAATGTACAGTGATGCCTTTGTATCACAGAACCATTGTGGTCAGAGGAAATCTCTGGAGATTGCCTGGTCCAACAAAGATCACATTTACTAAGGGTAGCTAAAAATATAAATATCATAATAATGGTAATTTTCTGGTTTCTCTTGTGTATTTTTACCAAACCTGAACTAAAGGCAATGTTATATAAAAAGCACGGTGGGTAATGATTTTTTTGTTATGCAGGAAACCTTCCAGCCTTTCATCATGTTTGTGTCATTTCCTAGTAGGAAAGTGGTAAGATGAGCTGGTTTATAACATTAACTGTTTGCTTTAGGTTTTGGAAGAGAAAGAATATGATGTTTATATGAGTCTAGGGATTATTTTTCGATTTCCGTGAAAATCTGATCTTCTTAAGCTAGATTGTGAATTTCTGAGAACACAGCAGTGAGCAAACTGCTGCTGAGTCAAAAAGGAAGTGGTGAAGAGCCAAACAGGTCTCAGGAGTGAAGCCAGGATGTTGAGATAGGGAGAGAAGGAAGAATGGAAATGCCTAGAATGTAAGCATTGAGTGAACAAACCTTGTAATGAAGAGCAAGTAACGTAAGTAAGAGTAGAGAGATTAGATTTCCTTAATAATAGTGACTTCTAGAATGCTGTGGAATTTCCCAGCTTCCTCTGTGTGCTGCTGCATTCTCTCTCATAAGGCTTGACAGTCACAGAACTAAAATGTTAAAAAATTTTAGAAATAGACTGTAAGAATGATTTGGAGCCTGAGAAGTATGATTTTGTCCAGTGGAGAGAAGATGGAAGGAAAGACGACAGCGTGACAAATAATTAAGGAGAAATGTGGAACAAACTCATCTTCATGTCCACGAGGAGTGAACCAAGCAGTAACAGGCTGAGTCTGCAGCTCAGGAAATTCAGATGAAGCACAAGAAAACCCTTTTTTGGCAGTGAGAACAGTGAAGGAATAGAATATGTCGCAGATGAAGGTATTGGAATCACCATCTGTTGCAACTAGGGACTAAACAGATATCTCCAGGAATTACATCAGTGGGGTTGATGCTGTTTTGGGATAAATGAACTAACTGGTTTTAGGACATCACTCCCAAACATATTTTTCAAAGATATAATTATACAACTACAAGTAGAAAATGTTTTGTATAAAAAAAGGCCTCTCAAATCCTCCAGGAAAAGCTGTAATAGGTTCTCTACTTGGGATAAGAGCTACACAAATTCAAGATATAAAGACATGCATTTTAAGATCAGATAATCATGGAAAAATTACCCAAAGGAATGGTAGATTCTACATAGCTTGAAACCAAAAGCGTTGTAGGTTATATATAATTTATGGCATGACTCAGATGCAACTGTTTGAAAATACTGTATTTAGGCTGTGCTTTATGGGATGTGAAACTTGGTGATCTAAAATACAATCTAAATGTTTTGTGTGACTAAAATCTCCTGAGATATCATATTCTACGTCTGCATAAGCAAGGCATTCGAGTAAAAAACTCCACAGTTTTAGACTCCATCATGACCAAAATCTACTGTAAAAGCCACAAAAATACATTAACATGACAATGTACAATGAGCCCAGTGTTTGCAGTGGTTCTCCAGAAGTGGTGTGTCTGTAACAGCAACTCTTGCTGCTGGATTAAAGGAGATAAATTACTATTGCAACATTAATTTTGTCTTAAATTTGCTTAACCTAACCAGTAAACACTGGATTCTAGTTCGGTTCTTAGGAATAAATTCTTCCCTGTGAGGATGGTGAGGCCCTGGCACAAGGTGCCTGGAGAAGCTGTGGCTACTCCTGGATTCCTGGATTTGTCCAAGGTCAGGCTGGATGGGGCTTGGAGCACCCTTAAAGCTGGATGAGCTTTAAGGTCTTTTCCAACCCAAACCATTCCATTATTCTGTGAAACACTGCAGTGAAGGAAGGGTTTTGGCCAAGGCAGATCTCATTTCACAAACTCCACCTGCAGCTGCGATGAGGACATACAGTTCTTCACTGCTAGAAAAACTGATCTATATCAAAACAAGCAAAGCTTCAATCAGCAGAAGTAATAAATACCCTTACCTTCTACTTAGCCTTGCAGCCAGCACTGAAGAATAGGAACACATGAATGCATAATTTCCTCCCTAACCCTTATATTTCATCTCTCACAGCATTCTTCTTTCACTGATTAACTATTTACTATTTTGCTATTAACTATTTTACTGATCTACCACAAAGAAGTAATCTAAGAAGTCTAAGAAATGGTGTGCTGTCGCCCTGATTTTTTAAGATTTTCTAAGCCTTCTGATGTTTAGCACTTTTACTCTCTCACAGCATTCTTCTTTCACTGATTAACTATTAAACCTTTACTGATCTACCACAAAGAAGTAATCTAAGAAGTCTAAGAAATGGTGTGCTGTCGCCCTGATTTTTTAAGATTTTCTAAGCCTTCTGATGTTTACATTCTTGTAGCAAACTTTCTCACACACTTTCCGTGAATAACTTATTGTTTTGCATTCTTTTCTGGAGGAGGAGAAATTTGATGGACTGTTGGTCAGTCCAGTGTCATTGGAGAGGTGGCACTGTCACCCCCCAATCCACTGTCACTTTTGGAAATCTATAAATGTTGGAGTCAGAAAATAAACGTCCCTTTTAACCTTGAGAACAGCAGCGTGTTCATGTGGTGGTTTTTTGTGTCCTGTAGTGACAGTGTGCTGAGAATAGTTTTGCATACAACTTCAAACAGAAGATATAGAAGGAGATACAAAATATTCTGAGTTGGCAGAGACCCACAAAGGTGATGGAGGCCAACTTTTAACACAGTGCCTCGCATGGGGATCAAACCCATGGCGAGTTATCAGCACCATGCTCTAACCAGCATCCCCACTTCTTAATCAACAAGAATATCCCACACAGATTTTTTTGCGTCCTGTAGTGACAGTGTGCTGAGAACAGTCTTGCATACAACTTCAAACAGAAGATATAGAAGGAGATAGAAAATATTGTGAGTTGGCAGAGACCCACAAGGATGATCGAGTCCAACTTTTAACAGAGTGCCCCACATGGGGATCAAACCCATGGCAAGTTATCAGCACCATGCTCTAACCAGCACCCCCACTTCTTAATCAACAAGAATATCCCACACAGAGAAATCTCTGGCTATTATTAATTATTAATGAAGTACAGAACCGTCTGATTATTACTGGCAGCTAAAACGGCTGATTTTGTTTATTTGGTTGGGCCCTTTATTTCAACGTAATCCTTTCACCACCACTCGAGACGAAGCAAAGCGGGACGAACACACCGCAGGAGCACCAGGAGGCGAACAGGGACGAAGAAGGAGCAGCGGGACAGACCCGACCCGCCCCGGGGCCGGGCTGAGGCGGCGCCTCATGAGGCGGCAACATGGCGGGCACTGCGTGAGGGCGGGCACGGCAGCCACGCCCCCATTGGCCGCGCCCCCTTTGGCCACGCCCACCCCTGCCACTCGCCTATAAAAGCCTCGCGCGGGCCGGGTGAGGGGGCCGGCACTTCCGGTCGGACATGACGCCACAGTGTCAACATGCAAGATGGCGGCGCATCACCGGCAGAACACGGCGGGGCGGCGGAAAGTGCAGGTGAGGGCGCGGCGGGGCCGGCACGGCTCGAGGGGCGCCCGGAGCCTCGCGGGCCACGCCAGCGGCCGCAGGGTGTCGGCCTTTGGGCGTTTCTATGGCAGCGCCGTCGCCGCGCTGAGGGGAGGCAGCGCCGCGCGCCCCCGGGGTCTCTCCCGGCCCCGCTGGCCGCCGTGGCGGGGGCGAGCGGCCGCCGGAGGCAGCGCGGGGCTGAGCTGGCCCCGCTGCCCAACGGGGCCGGGGTCTGCCGCCCGCGGGAGGCAGAGCGGGAGCAGCTCGGAGCGAACGCGGCGGGAGGTGAGCCGAGAGCGGGGCAGCGGGAATGGCCAGCCAGGGCTGCGGGCTCCTGTCTCGGCTGTGCCCGTTGCCAGATCAGATATTGGGAAGAAATTCTTTGCTGCGAACGTGGTGAGACGCTGAAATAGTTTTCCCAGTGAAGCTGTGGGTGCTCCATCCCTGGAATTGATTTCAAGGCCGGCTTGGACTGGGCTCTGAGAACCTGGTCCAGAGGAAGCTGGAAGGTTGGAACGGGGTGATGTTCAAGGTCCCTTCCAACCCAAACCATTCCATGATTCTGTGGTCTGCTTTGCATCGTATTTCTGCTCAGTTTCTGTAAAACACTCTGTGCCTTGGCACAGAGCAAGGAGCAGGGTTTTTTCTTCTCAGATTTCAGAAGGGTTCCTTGCCAGCTCCAGGCAGCATTTGTTGAAGGAAACCCATGGCACAGGCAGTCAGGTGGGTGTAGACTTTCTCAGCACACTTGAGGAACAATTAAATTAATTAAACCCTGTGGTTTGGACTCATGTGTACCTGCAAGTGGATTGTTGTAGCCTTGGTGGAGACTGGAGTTACCAAAGTACGTATAAATTGTCAAGACTCTAACAGTTAAACTCATAAAAATGGTTTTATTTTATGGTTCTCAATGCTTTTTTAATTTGTGATACTGCCTGCCCTTTAGATGTTTTTACAGCTTTCACTATGGAAAAGATTTAGTGCTTTATCAATGTGCAAAGCAAGTGGCAAGTGCCAGTTTCAGCTGTACCTATCCACTGGGATCAAATTAAATATTGTTAGGTTTGAAATAGCATTAGGAGCTTTAAAAACAGAGGTGGGTTTGGTTTTTGGATGCATTGTTTATCATGCAGAGGAAATGGGCATCTTACAGAGCATTTAGTGTTTTCTGTGGTTAGGGAAGCACTCTTTCAATTCTGCATAAAGAATTCCCTTGTCTTGACAGAAAAAGATTGGATGTACTTTAAAATATAAAGAATGCCAATGCTGTGAACAAGTTTTTGCAGTTTACACCCCAAAGGAGGGGAATTTTATTATGCCTTGATATTTGTTTGATGCACTCCTATTTATGAACTGTTTCCCTGGCAGCAGCATGCATCAAAGAGCTCCCTGTTTCCTTTTGTCACTACTACTTTTTGTTCTCCAAGCATTGCTTAGCTCAAAAGTTTGTTTCTGCAGGTGGTTTTGTGCTGGTTTTTCATGTTTTGTCTGTTCTCATTGTGCTGTGTGGTACTTTTTCACCTCATGTACTAATGACATGTGATGTACATGACACTGCTCTGTGTCTCAGCAGTGCTCTGTGAGTTCAGATCCAGACTGGTTGTGTTCCCAGAGAAGCTCCCAGCCCTGGAAGTGTTCAAGACCAGCTTGGATGGGGCTTGGAGCAGCCTGGCATTGTGGGAGGTGTCCCTGCCAATGGCAGGGGGTGGAATGAGAGCATCTGTAAGGTCCCTTCCCACCCAAACCATTCCATGATAAACATTTATAAAGTTTGACTAGAAGCTGGATTTTTTTTTTTTGACTCTTATTATTTCACCTGCTTGGTTAGTGACAGGACTTTGTTCAGGTAAAGGAGTTTTAAGTGGCTGTTTCATCCATCAGCTGCAAATGGAAAAATAAAACCACTCATGATTTATTTTAATTCCCAATGGCTGAGCATTTAGGGTGCATCTGCAGAGAGTTTTTGAGAGAGAGACAGAGTTGGAGAAATTTGTTCCAAACCTCTGAGGACGGAGGAAGAGGGTTTTACAAAAGACACCTCTCAGGCATGAAGGAACTTGATTCCTTACATGGCAGGAGAGCTGCTGGAAGTTTATGGAAATCAGAACTATTATGAGCTTGGATGCACCTGTTCTACTGGTAAGCAAAGCCGTCCAAAATAGTCAGTTTAGGTGCTTCTGCATGTAATTTTAGTTTCTAATGGTTTAATCAGGGTTTTAGGCCTCAAAATAAATTCTATGAATAGAGAAAGAAAGGAATTTAAATTCTTTAAATGGGAGTCAGGCATTTGAAGTGTTCAGTGGCTCATGTTTGTGAAGCTTAGCCCTGCCTTTCTGAAGGTTGCAGGAGTGAGGTTGAGTGATTTGGAGAGGCAGTGAGGATGCAGGGGGGTGTCACACCCTGATTTGGGGAGGCAGAGAGGATGCAGGGGTGTGTCACACCCTGATTTGGGAAGGAGGGAGGATGCAGGGGTGTGTCAGACCCTGAATTGGGAAGGAGGGAGGATGCAGGGGTCTGTCACACCCTGATTTGGGGAGGCAGTGAGGATGCAGGGGTGTGTCACACCCTGATTTGGGAAGGAGGGAGGATGCAGGGGTGTGTCAGACACTGATTTGGGAAGGAGGGAGGATGCAGGGGTGTGTCAGACGCTGCTGTTGGCCGTGTGCTGCAGCTTTCAGATGTTGTCCTGGCAGTCAGGTCAAGGTGAAGCATTCCCAGCAGGGGCCTTGGAGGAGCTGCCTTGCAGGGGTTGCATTGTAACTGCTCTCCCAAACTTGCTCCCTGGCCAGAATAAATTTACCCCCAAACTCAAAAAACACATGAAAACTTTGCCATGTAAGGATCAGCATCCTTATACGATTGCATGAATTTTAAGCACTTTTTATCTTTAAGTCATGTACAGAACAAGAATCTCATTCTCCATCCCTGGGAGTGTTCAAGGCCAGGCTGGATGGGGGTTTGAGCACCTTGGTCTAGTGGAAGGTGTCGCTGCCTGTGGCAGTGGTTGGAATGAGATGGTCCCTTCCAACCCAAACCATTGTGATCTTTTTGAACTGATTTGTCACATTTGTGCACTAATTTTTGCAGCTTACTAGATGTGATACCTTTGTTAATTTTATATTTTATATATAATAAATGTAAAAATTATCATTACAAATATATTTATTTCATATATAATGCTTAAGCAAACAAATAGCCAGTATGTTGATTCCACTGTAAAAGGATAAAATGAGCTTCTTAATGCCTTCCATTACTTTTCTTCTGGAGCCTTGATAAAAATTCAAATAGTCTTCTTAATTAAAAGCCATGTTTTAGGGATACATGTGCTCCGCCAAGATAGTAAAACAATGTTGGTTTTTTTTTCTTGGTATTTCACTGCTGCTTATCTCATTCTTGATGCAATCCAGATCTCATAGGACCCTTCCATGATTTTGAGAAATATATTTTTTTAATTGCTCACTTAGAAACAAGGAATGAGTGTTCTCAGAGCTCAGCTGGTTACTATTTCCTCCGTGTGGTTTGGTGGGCTGTTTTAAAAGCAGATTTTACCCATCTGTGAAGATAAAGTCTGTTATAATGCATGTAATATAACAAGGGTAACGTGATCCCATGTCAACTGATACAAGTGTTTCCTGCATGGATAAGTGTAAGTCCTGCAAGAAATTCATTTGGCTTTGTGTGCCAAAATATATCTGTGGGCAGTAGCTTTATGTCTGGAGCTCTTAGGTAGTCATTAAAATGATTACTCCTGATCCATTTAGGCTCCTGAATCCCATAAACTCCTTATAATGAGTGGTTGTTTGTGCTGTTCCACTGCTGCTGTGGAAGATTCTTATTCTGGGAGCTTAGAAAAGCTGCAGCAGTGTCGATGGCAAAGCTTTGGTTGTCAGTAGAATATTTCACATGCCACAAGCCCTGCTCCTCCCAGCCCATGTGGCATAAAGCCACGCTGATCTAGATCCCAATTTTTGTGTCTGTGCTGTGCCCTGGCTCTGTGCTCTGCTGGAGAGGGCACAGCAGGGATGTGCTCCAGCCTGTCCTGCATGGAGCAGATGGCACTGAGGTGGCAGAGCCCTCACTTCTGGGGGTCTGCACACCCCTTTCCAGGCAGAACCCAGTGCTTTATCTTCAGTGATAAGGTCTGTGTGCTTCAGGAGCAGAGGTGAATTTTATCACAGCAATTTCTCCTCAACCACAACTTCTCTGCATTTATATTGTTTAGATATGTTTGTGTACACACAGGCTTGAAAATATTCTTTGTTTTTATTTTTGTTTTGTATACTTACTAAATCTTCTAATATTTCTTAAGTCTGTGCTAACTGTCACTCAAAAACCCAGCCAAACAAAAAAGCACTTTCTCACCCTTTTTTCCCCCCAAATAAGAACATAATGGAGAAACACGTGTGGGTTCTCAGCAGTCTTCCTCTGTTCTTATTAGTGAATGTTTTGGTTTTGTGGGCTTGGCTGCATGTCCACCACTCTTACACAAATTTCAGCTCTTTTACCCAACTTGCTGTTGCTTTTATTGATACACTTTAAGTTCCCCATGCATTTCAGCTGCCTTTCAACAAATAGATTTTGTGGAGCCCTTAATTTTTCCCTCTATGTTAGTATGGAATAAATGCATTTAAGTACAAGCCTGGATGCTTCTGGTGTTACACCTCCCTTTCCAAAGGGTTCCATGTGGTGTGCAGCAAATGTCTCATGGGGTTGTTTTTAGTTCAGCCACATGTGCTGTGTGTCTTGTTCTAGTTTTGTTAATATACAAGATGTTTATTTCAGCCTCAATGACTGATTAGCAGGAGTGGGCCAATATTTTTTTTTTATTTTGGCTGAGCAAATAAATTTATTAAGTATTTTCAGTGTATGCTTATTTCAGCCTCAATGACTGGTTAGCAGGAGTGGGCCAGTCAATATTTTTTTTTATTTTGGCTGAGCAAATAAATTTATTAAGTATTTTCAGTGTAAACAGCTGACAGTTAGTTGGATATCATTAGATCTCCAAAATGAGTTGGAGAGTCCATTTTTTGCTGTAGCCCTTTTCAGCTCCTACTGTTTTCAGGACAGATGGTTTTCTTTGTCCTTAGCCAGCTGCTCAAATTGCAGTGTTCATGTGAAGTGTTGATATTGTGTCCCATCAACTTGCTGACCACAGAATAATTTTCCCTCATTTTGATTTTCTTTGTTTGTCCTTATAGTATTAGAAATTTTTAAAAAGTTAACTAAGGAGTCCATGTTTAATTTGGACTAGAATTACTTTTATGATTGAAAAATATCTGTCACAGTTTCTCCATGTCACATGGAGGAAGTTACTATTACCTAATAAAATAAGGATTTCTTTTTCTTCTTACTGCTACTCCTTCAATTTTTAAGACAGTTTATCAGGACTAGTATACTATTCCTTCTGTGGACAGTAAATAACACTTTGTAAAATTCTGAGGAGAGTCAAAAATAGTTTGTTGAATTCTGTCCACAGTAGCAGTCACTGATGGGAAATTTTGTATCAAGATCTTTTTGTTGTTTTGTCATATTTTTTTACATCAAAGATCTCCTGTATTTACACCACGAAGAGGAACACAAGATTTTTATCTTGTTTGATTCAGTTGTTACAGCAGTTATTTTCTCAAGTTTGTCACAGGGAGAAAGAAGGATGATGTTGGGTTTTCTGCTCAACTTCTGCTGAGATCTGGTTCAGATCTACCAGGGAAAAATAACACTGGAACAATATAACCCCTCTCTTTATCCCAGTTCTTTTAAAATAAAAACAATACTTGCCAAGAGATGTTTGACTAAATTAACATTTGGAAGTCATTAAAGGCAATGGAGGACAAATTAACTTTGACTATTTCAGTACTGGTAATAATGAGAAATGGTTGTCAGCCTCCTCTGATTCTGTCTTTTTGTGAGGGAAAAACAGCATTTGGTTGAGCTGACTTTAATTTCATCAAGATTAATGTAGAATTATGACTCAATTTCCAAAGTCCTGTGAAAGTTTTAATCATATATGACAAGTACCTTATTTACTAAAATAAGCCATCATTTGGGGATTTTTTTGCACTTTTAAATATTTATGGCTGTGTTTTTCTTGACTTCCTTTAAACTAAAAAGAAGTAACATCATTATGTGCAAAAAGCATCAGCATTATCATGCTTAAGTGACTAACATAGTTTGACATTCTAACTTAAGAGTGGAATGAAGAACTCTCAAATCATACCTGAAAATATAACAAATATGGGAGATGACTGACAGAGGAGGAACAAATCCAAAAATTGGGGATTTCTCAAAGAATATCCTGGTAGCATTTGGGAAAACAGGTGAAATGCCCTGCTGATCTTGAGCCTGATACTGTACCAGGAAAATACTGTTCTCTCTAATGAATAACATTCAATTTGATCTACTGATCTCTAGGTTTGTGTCTTAGCTGTTCACATTTAGTATTTTTAACTGAGTGTTTTCATTGGTTTTATTCAGAGAGTTTGACAGCAACGTGAATTTCATGGGCATTCCTTTGCCTTGTGTTTGAATAATTTTAAACCTTAACTTTTGTACACGTAACCTGTGTGGGTCTTTCAGCAATGCAGCCATGATATGATTAAGGCCAGGTAAGGAGTGGCACATGGATCTTGCTCTCTGCATCTCATAAAGAAATAATGCTTGAAGTGCTTTAACATGACACTTCTGCGTGGTTGATGGTGTCTCCTTTCAGCAGCGTCTCTGGAGCTGTGTGTAGGTGGAAACTTGAGCATGGATAGTGAGAATGCTATGGATGAGTCTGGAATGGGTGAGAGAAGCTGAAAGCATTGGAAATGAGGGCAATCTAAAACTGGGAGGAAGAGCTGTGGTAGTAAAAGGGCTGAGAGTGGCTGACAGAAGGTCTTAAGAGCATTTGGGATATAATAATACACTTATGTAAATGTATTGTAGATATACAATTATGTATTATGTACATCACATTAATAATTGTAGTGAAGGACTTGTGGAATGATAAGGGAGAGTGTTGAGACAAAGCTTCAGGAGGCTCTTAATTGTGATCCTTCAGTGTTGGTCTGTAGAGCTGCTGCAGCTGTTTCTCAACCAGAGAATAGCACTGGATGTGTGTTTTCTGGAAGCAGCAGTGCTCTGGCTCCTCAGTGCTGCCTGAGGATGGGATAATTTGGTGGAGGTGTTTCCCATGTTCACAAATGGACCTTGCAGCTCTCATGGTATCTGAGCTGCAAATATACTTGTGTAAAATACTTCTTCTGTGATAAGGACCACTGAGCATCTTAATTTGTTGGATCTATTTTGTGTCACTGAGATCTGATCTGGAAAACATTTTCTTTATACTGCTTTAACACAGTTACTGGTGTGAAAAATTGCTTTCAGATCTCTAGACCAAGACTATTCCTTATAAGCATTTTCAAAACATGGGTGCTTGTGTATCCAGAAGATTCCTGTTTTGAGCAGCTTTGATTACACCAAGCATGAATCTTTACCTTGTTCTGATTATATTTTATAGAATCTGGGAAGCTGCATATCTAGCATCTTTCCCTACTTTTTGCTCAGCTTTGAGCTTTTTTTCTGAGGGCTTTCCTCAGAGTAGTGTGTAAATCCAGAGATCAGGAAAGTCAGTGCAGTAGATCTGAAGAAACTGCAGTGTTTTAGAATTGTATTTACTGAACACTAATAATGGGGACTGCTGTGGCCTTTCAGGTTCTCCTGAAATTTCCTTTTAGTTTTTCTGAGCAAATACATGAAATAACCTTTACACACAATACTGTCAAACGTGGAAGGAAAGAAACTAATGGAACAATTTATCTGAAAGAGCACTAAGAGTTTGAGTTTCTTATTATATTGGTAGGTAGGTAGTTCTTAAAAAATTGGTTTAAAAATAATAGTGACACCTGTTGAATTTGAATCTGCAGTCTGTCAGTACTTTGTAAGCCATGGTGAACATATCCTCTCCTTTGTGAGGCTGGGAAGTGCTGGCATTGCAGCTATGGAAACTGTGGAACCCACTCGGGAAGTGACACACAGACTTAGTGTGTTCTAAGATCACCCAGAATGTGCACACACAGCAGGGAATTGAGGAATTGAACTGAGGATTCTCTGGGTCTAACTCAGCTTAAGTTGCAATGATTGAAAGAATTTTCTGGGCTCCAGTTCTATCACTGCTGAATCTTCTCTGCGACTCTTCCCCATTTTTGGGGACAAAAATGACTTTGGTGGTGCTGATAACTCTCAACTGAAAAAGCAATGCTTGTAAAACTCTTCATATTTTCTACTCAAGAACCATACAAAGATGAAATTAGATGTTCAGATTTTATGGCCATGTCAATATCTTAATACCATAATTGGATTTATGCAAATGTGTTTCAGGTTTCCTATGTGATTAGAGATGAAGTGGAGAAGTACAACCGGAACGGGGTAAATGCACTTCAGCTGGACCCAGCATTAAACAGACTCTTCACAGCAGGGCGGGACTCCATCATACGGATATGGAGTGTCAATCAGCACAAGGTCAGTCAGCACAGCCTTCCTGGCTCTAAACCTACTTTTTTTCCCCAAGTTTTCCTGCTGGTAAGCTGCCTATAGGGTTGTACCTGATGCTGTTTTTTAGCAGCTGCCAATTAGTGTGATCACAGAATCCTTTTGATGTTGGTTGTACTGTGGTATTGTATGTGGCATTCACATTCCCTGAAAAATCCCTTCGCCCAGGATTTTTCTCCTGGGAAGCTGAGAAGCCTCAGAAAAGGAAAACATTTCTTATTTCATTTGCTTCCCCTGTGTTTTGCTCATGTGGAATGTGTTTGGAGATTGTTTACCCACAGGTGATTGTTTCATTGGATTCTGGTGTGAGTTGTTTTGACTCTTTGGCCAATCAGGGCCAGGCTGTGTCAGGACTCTGGAAAGAGTCATGAGTTTCATTATTATCTTTTTAGCATTCAGTATTATTCATTATTATCTTTTTAGCATTCCTTTCTGTGTTCTTTAGTATAATTTAGTATAGTGTTCTTTAATATAATATAGTATTATAAAGTAATAAATTAGCCTTCTGAGGACATGGAGTCATTTGCATCATTCCTTCCTGCCATGGGGATCTCTGCAAATACAGTCATCATACATAACTGTGTAGTTCTCACAAAAAGGGTTCTGGGGGAGTGATTTCAAACAACTCTGCACTAGGAAACTTTGAATCCATATGCAGGTTAAAGAAGGTACCACGACAGGATGTTGTAGTCACAATCTTCTCTATTGGTGATGAGCTTATTTTTTCTTAATTTGCAGCAAGACCCTTATATAGCATCTATGGAACATCACACAGATTGGGTAAATGACATTGTGCTCTGCTGCAATGGCAAAACATGTAAGTACTTAAAAGTTTCAGAACTGCAGTATTCAGAAACTGCATAGAAGTAAATTATCTGCTGCTTTAATTATTTTGCATATTTTCTTAGCATGTAAAATTAATTTGTGATGTATATTTTAATTTTGGTAAATAGTGTAAGCAGCTGTTTTAATGAAAATGGAAATGTTATATAAATTGTTTTAATCTCTTTTGAAAAACAAATTAGAGTAGTACAAATATGCTCTAAAGTAATATATAAGCCATTAAAATTTAGTCTTTATTCTTTCCAATTTAGTGATATCTGCTTCTTCAGATACTACTGTTAAAGTGTGGAATGCACATAAGGGATTTTGCATGTCAACACTAAGGACGCATAAGGTGAAAAACATTATCTGTAAATACTGTGTGTGATCAGTGCCCTTCTTAAAATTATTAAGATGTAGACTTCAAAAGCATAACATTGATTCATATTGTTACATTTATTTTATTGTAGGACTATGTGAAAGCCTTAGCATATGCAAAAGATAAAGAGCTGGTAGCATCTGCTGGGCTGGACAGACAGATATTCCTCTGGGATGTAAATACTCTCACAGCACTGACTGCCTCAAATAATACTGTCACAAGTAGGTACCTGGGGAGGGGAGGCAAATGCAATGCATTTTATTGAGTAGCATAATCTGTGAGGTCAGTTTAAAACTATGGATGCCTTTTTCTATCTGTACATAAAAAATGGACAAGAAATTTGAAGGGGGGAGGTTGTATGCATTTAGTCTATTTGTTGTGTTATGTAATAGCTGGAAATCTAGAGCAGCCAACAGTCATGGCATTTAGAATAGAGGACAAGTTCTCTTTTGAACTGTTCCTCCTGAACTGTGACATACTGGTTTCTCTGAAACTTGACAGAACTTTAACTTGAGAAGATTTTAACCTCTAAACCAGCCTTTTATCAAAATGTTCTGTTAGCTTGTTTGTTCCTACATTTTCTGTGATTTGGGGTTGGTTTTTTGTTTGTATAGATGCTGAAAAAAACAGGAAGTACAGCTCCTAAAGCAGGATTTGATACATTTGTCAAATCTGTCAGAAGAATAGTTACTAGATAAGCTAGACTAAAAAGCACACAGAGAAACACAAAGCACTGATTACACATGAGGATAACAGACTGGTGAGATCTGACTGACTAGAGATTGGAAGGCAAGGAGAAACTGGAGATTAATTCTCAATGTCACCCACATCTTTTAGGAAGTCACCTGTCCTGCTTCTCTCTCCCAGAAATGCATTACATAAATTGTGAGATCTTTCCTTTATACAGCAATTCCAACACTGCCTTGTTTAGACTGGTCAGGGTAGAGCTGGTTAAGTTGCTCTTCTGGGAAGTGTCACACCAGTCTTTAGGCTCAGTTGGGTTTGAGTGAATGAAATAGATATGGGTTGTGGCATCCTGGTTTGTATTGGCTGTTTTACAGTTGATTTTTTGAGAAAAATCTAGTGTGACCCCAGTGTACATTGCTGCCTGTTAGGTAGGTTGGAAAAATTGTGTTCCCAGTGATTGATCTTTCATTTTTTAGTTAGTTTAATGGACATTTAAACAACAACACTGGGAAAGAACAGAACCATTTTGCACACTGCCACACTTTAATTTCCTAAATAAGCCTATTGCTTCCTCAGTCATGGGTTAGTAATGACTCCAGGAAAATCTGCAAAGCTAAAACTTGGAATTGACACACATATTCCTAAGACATTTCAGGAATATGTAATTCTGTAAGTAAGAAGCAGTTGGTGTGGAGGTTTTTATTTGCTGTATTGGGCTGATTTCAAAAGGTGTGTTTAATTTTATAGATTTGGTAGCTTCTGAAGCCAGAGGTGCATCTGCTGGGCAGAACTGTCAGTCTTTCATTTGTTGTCTAAAGAACTTTTTAATTCAAGCATAGCCTTGTGCTGACATGTCTGAGTAGTTTTGGAGGAGACATGGCTTTAGAGAGCTGTGTTGCACTGCAGAATGCTATTGGGATAGCACATGACTAAAGAGATCTACTTTATATTTCCCAGAAATATAAAATCCTTCTATTTCTTCCTTTTTTACTGAAAATAGAATTATTTTATAGCCAAACTTTGCTGATAACTCTAAGTTTTGCTGTCTTCTACTTCAACAAAGTGTTTTTGAAGGAAGAGTTTATTTGTGAGCTCACAGGAAAACTGAGTTGTGTGGTAATAAAGAAACATAAAAACATTTCTTATACACTGTAACAGTGATACAGAACCTAAATGGTTGAAGTGAATCAGAAATGGGGAGTACTGAGGAGCTGGTGCTTGTTTTGAACCCAGGATTAAATGGAAGTGGAGATATTGCCTCTAAGGTGACAGGGAGAAATTTGCATTTCTGGAGTAGGAGCACAAATATTTTGTAAAGGAGAGGAAGAGGAAGCAGAGGAGTTTTTTTCTTTCATTGTAGTGCTCTCCAGTAAGTGTTTCTGTTGGAAAGAACACAATGTCCTCACAGAACCTGTTTTCCTGAGTCCTTTCAAGCAGTATGGATTTTTCAGAGTACAAATGAATATTGTGCCTGTGCATTAGTTTTCTATCTGATTACCTGCAAGCAGTGTGCACAAACCAGCATTAATAGGAAGCCTATTTCTAAAGAGTCTCTCAGTCAGCAGAGATGTAATTTAAATTAAGGGGAGAGATTTAGCTTTTGAGAGGTAGTCCCTCCCAGAAGGCAGTGGAGTTGAGCTTCATTTTTCTTCTGGCATAAATTCTGCTCTGTACATTTAAGATTCTCCTATTCTTGCTATTCAGCTTCTGATAATTCTGTATATTGTCCTTTCCTAAATTATTGTGATTGTTGAACAGTGTGCCAACCTTCAAGAGTTTTCAGTTCTGTATCTTGCTTTCAGCTGCTCTCTAGGGACAGTGGAAAACTCACTTTATTTTAGCTCCAAATAATAGATTTCATTTGACACTTTGCATTTGGATGCTATAACCAGTGGCTAAGAGGACTCTGAAGTAAAGCTGCATAATTCTATAACAGGGTTGAAGAATATCCTGAATTGTAAGGGACCCTCAAGGATTATTGAGTCCCAATTCCTAGCCCTACATTTTGGACAACCCCAAAAATGTCACCCTGTGCCTGAGACTGTTGTCCAAATGCTCCTGGGGCTTTGGCAGCCTTGGGACCATGACAAAGCCCTGGGGTTCAGTGTCCCACCACCCTCTGGGGGAAGAACCTCTTCATGATTTCCAGCCTAAACCTCCACAACACAGGTTTCTCCATTGTGACAAAATGTGATATTAAGTTATGATATTAGGTTACAAATCCTGTGTTGGAAACTTAGCTCCATCATAGAAATAAATCATTGTGTGAAGTTTCACATTTTTACTGGCCATACAGTTTGTTGCTATTCTCAGCTTTCTTGGTGTACTGATGGTATGGATTTGAGGCTTGATGAAATGCCTGATTGTGCTCTCCAAATAGATGATTTTCATTTGCTGTGTCTGTGCTTTTCTGAGTTGAGGGACTGGTACTTCAATCTCCAAAAGAGGGTTAGGTTGGTTGGTGTAGAATTCCTCAGCTCTGATGGTAGGTGTGATGCTAAGGAGCTGCCATATGGTTTTCACAAGTGCAGAGGTAGCATCCCTGCTCAAATAACACATTTCAGTGCTGCAATGTAACTTCTCTGCACTTCTGCTGAGCTAGAAGAGCCTTTAATACAAAATGTAGAATTTTACTGTTATTCAGCTTGGAAAAAAATCTACACTTAAATCCAAATGCTGTGTGTTACAAGATCACAAAGAAGTGTCATATTCCAATGACATGTTGAGCAAGAGTAGTTTGATGGCCCTGGCACAGAACTGTGGTGCCAATGGTCACCAAAATTGTAATCATCATAAATCTGAGGGGTTACTTTGTTTTTATGCAACAGTAGATTAAGAATTGGAATGGGGTTTTCCCAGCATTATACTGACTATAGCCTTTCTTAAAGCAATTCTGTATATGGGGCAGAGTGGCACTATTTTCATGAGTCAAAGAGTATTAAAATACCAATTTTGAGTCAATGAGTATGTTTTTCAAATAACAGCATTAAAATTATAAATGTGAATTTTGTTTTGAAATAGCTTCTTCCCTGAGTGGGAACAAAGACTCAATCTACAGCCTTGCAATGAATCAAATGGGAACAGTTATTGTATCAGGGTCCACTGAAAAGGTAAGCAAAATTTGGTGGGGTTCATTTCACTTCAGTTTGATTTCAGTATAAAGAGACAATTTTATTCATTTTCAATGTCATGTCTGTAGCATCTTTTGTGTTTTCAATAGTGAGGGCAGACACTTCTGTTAAGTGGGAGTGCAAGTGTAGGATACAAATCCTGCCTCAGACTGAAGATGTGATGTATCCATAGAGCTTTAATACATAGGGGAGACAATCAGATCATCTTGTGTAACCCTCTTTGTCAGGGATCATTACATTTCCCCACAAGAGCTCTGATTTTGAGGGCACATGACTCAGATGATTATCAAAACTGAAGCAGTTGCTGCAGGTAGGAGAGAAGGTGCCAGCAGTTTGCAAGATGCCTGCAGGAGGTGGGAAATGAAGTGAGCTAATGAAGCTCAAGTGCTCCCAAGAGACAGCCCTTGCTCTTTGTTAAGGAAGTTAAAACAGGCTTAAGTCTCTGAGTTGGTTTCTTTTGTCTAATCTAACCTTGAGAGAATTTTATTTCCGAGACAATGTAAACCAGAAAACAGGATACACCAATGAAGCGTCTGAGAGGACTCTCAGAAGCACATTTTATGCCCACATCACACTGTCCTGTTTCCAGTCACTTCCATCCTTTAATTTCTTTAAGACAGGAGAAGCCAGAGCAAATTCAATTAAAATCAGGAGAAGATCACATCTGAATACTAGAGCTGCATGAGATGAGATATAGTTATATCTGTCTTGTTCAAAAATATATTTTCAGTGATGGTTGTCCAAATGTTTGGAATAAGGGCTGATTAATTTGGAAAGCCTTAATTTCTGCAGAGGTAGCACATTGGTGGGAAGAATGCTGTTAATGTCATTTATCCACTGCCTGTTTCCATAGGTTCTAAGGGTGTGGGATCCAAGGACTTGTGCAAAACTGATGAAACTCAAAGGGCACACAGACAATGTCAAAGCTTTGTTGTTGAACAGAGATGGCACCCAGGTATGTGCTTTAACCTGAAAGGCAGTTTACAGAGAGCAGAAATTTCAATCCATTTCAATGTAATTATTTAATGTCATAGATTACAGATATTTAGTGGTTAAGGGGGGGAGGCTGATGGGTGAAAGTTTTAATTACATGTTCATCTAGGTGTGCAGTAGGTTTACATAAAATACTGGAAATCCTTACTAGAGTTGTTACCCATTTAGCACCATTTTAGAGGAAAAATATAAATATATAAATCCTTTTTATGGGGAAAAATATTTTGAAATACTTCAGTAGCTGTTTGATTGAAGTGTGCTGGTCGTTGCTCAGTGTCTTTCAGGCAGCTCTGACGGGACGATCCGCCTGTGGTCCCTGGGCCAGCAGAGGTGCATAGCCACGTACAGAGTCCACGATGAGGGTGTTTGGGCTCTGCAGGTCAATGAAGCCTTCACTCATGTTTATTCAGGAGGGAGAGACAGGAAGATTTATTGTACAGATCTACGAAATCCGGATATCCGGGTGCTGATCTGTGAAGAAAAGGCACCAGTTCTTAAGGTAATTGAGTTTAATTCAGGGAATCATACAATGTCTGGGGTTAGGAATGATGGCTGAAGATCATCTGGTCCACTCCTCTCCCTTGCCCAAGAGCACTGGAACTTGGAACCTACATCAAGATGGGTTTTGAGTATCTCCAATAATAGAGAATCTACAACTTGGGCCAGTGTTCTGTCACCCTCACAGTATAAAAAGATAATTTTATGTTTTCTCATGAAACGCTGGCTTGAGGTATTAATTGATTAAAGAATTCACATTTGGCTAACAAGTGTTTACGGTACCACACCTTCAGCAGATTGGCTCTGTCTCATAAATTACATTTAGGTCTAATTGCCTGAAGAAGACGGATGCCTGGCAGCTACTGAAAATGTGCAGATTGGAATATTACTGAAATTGAAAGTGCTTTACACGCAGGAAGTTGGGTTTATCAGGCTCTAGTACATTTTTAAGAAATTGAGCTGGCGTTGCCAAGGTTTTGTGCAAAAGTGGATTTTTCTTAGCAGCAGCATATGTGCACAGGACTGTTTTAGAATATTTACATACTCATGGGAACCAGGAGTAAAGTTGTTGTGGGTTTTTTTTGAACATATAAACATGATATTTGTATGCACAAGTCTGACTCTTTCTGAGAGGCTGTTTTTTGAATGTTTTTGCTGTCTCTAATGACATGACTTTGGAACCTGCAGGTGTGTAAAGAGTGTGCAATTGAAACATATACAAATAGATATGAGCAGTCTGGTTTTCCTTAGGAGTGAATTCTAGCTTAGAGTGTTAAGATAAAATCCTGGATATGTTAATTTAGTTCTGGAAAAGTCAGGATGTGAGATTTCAGTTCACAGTAGAAAATGAATGTGCTGGTCAGCTGTACAGAGGTCAGGAGGAGCTTCTAATCTTGGCTACATTGATCTGAGAAATGTAATGTCAGAGCCAAATGTATAGAATTCTGCTTTTTCATTATTATAGAACTTCTTACATTTTCATATTAACCATAGGAAGTGTCTGAATACAAAGTAATTGAGAAAATAGTGTACTTAGGAAACTGTCCATTAGGCAAGATTGCATCATGCTGGAAGCAACTCTGTGTTAATACACACTGCATCTATTATTGCCCATGTCTAGAATTCATTTGTTGAATATTTGTAATAATTCCTGTGGATTTTTGGAAGTTTCATCTTAGCTACTTTTTGTTTAAACTTTGTGTTTCTACAGTAAACTGAAATTAGTGCTGTTTCTGAGGTACTTGCAATTATAGGAGTGGATCAATACAAGACAACACTAATTATCAAAGGGAAACTAAGTTAAGCATGACTGAAATTTTGTTTCATTATTTAGATGGAACTGGATAGATCAGCTGATCCTCCTCCAGCACTTTGGGTAGCAACAACTAAATCCTCTGTGAATAAATGGGTAAGTGATACATTTTACAGTCTGTGAATACAGTGGAGTAGTCATGGGATTTGCAGTCTTTGTGGGAACTGTTGGGCTGTTTCTTTCAATTTGACTGGGATGTGCTGTGATTTGTAAGCTTTCTTTAGAATAAATCATAAAATACTACTATTAAATTTGCTCAAAATGTGTGAAGCTTTGAATTACTGTCTTTGCTCTGTATTTATGATGCACTTAGAAATTATATTCCTTGGAGCTGGATAGTTAACATCTAAATAGCAACATGGGCTGGCAGTTGTTACTCACAGATAAAAGCAAAGTTTATAGATAATTATGAATGTGTCATTTTTCTTTCTTTAGACTTTGAAGGGAATCCATAATTTTAGAGCATCAGGAGATTATGATAATGATTGTACCAATCCCATACCACCCCTGTGTACACAGCCTGACCAAGTTATAAAAGGTAAACAGCTCTTTTGCAGAGGACCTTGTAAAATCTGTTCTCTTTAGCACAAGTGATGGAGCATAAAGATGTACTCAGTTTGTTAAAAACTTGATACTATGATTTCAACCAGAACAATGTGGTTATTGTTTGTCCACTGTTAGTTACAGTTAAAATAGTGTTTAAACCTTGATGGTATCCAAGGTTTACACAAAAAAGTGAAACCAAAGAACAGCATATGTCCTGCAATTTAATTTAATGTGATATTAGAAAAAAATAATGACAGTAGTAACCTTAATTCTTGTTTGTTTGCCAGGGGGTGCTAGTATTATTCAGTGCCACATTCTTAATGACAAGAGGCACATATTAACCAAAGACACAAATAATAATGTGGCATACTGGGATGTCTTAAAGGTAAGGATGTAATTTCAGATTTTCTACTGTTGGATGATGAATTATTTTGTGCCACTTTTTTATGTATAAATTTTTAGTGTTTAAGATTTCTGTGGTAGAAAGTCAATCAACTTTTTGTCTCAGGATATGATGCAAGGTTTGCCTTTAGAAAAAGGAGGGGACATTTCTGAGCTTTTCTGTAGCTTTCCCTGATGTGAGGTTGATATCTGCATTCACCTGAATTCAATCCAGTATTGACATCTGCATTCTCCTGATGTTCACACCCTTGAATTTTTTCCAGGAAATAGTAATGTGTGTTTTGATGGGGTTTTGTTGCAAAGAGGGGTTGTGTTTGCTGGTAACTCAGGAAGGCAGGAAAATGAACAGAGGGAAGCCTGGCTCCTGCCTGGTGTTGCCTGGGGAGACTTGGTGTGACATTTCTTTATTTTGGTTTACCCAATGATTGCTCAGAGGAGAGGGGAAAGAGTGCAGAGAGAAAGGACTCAAATCCCACATCAGTGAGATGATCAGCAATTTCTTCTCTGGCAAAAGCCTGTTAAATTCTAAATATTTTCTTCTTGAGCTATGGAGTGCAGCAGCCAAGATCAGTAATGAGGTAAAGCATGCTCAGCCAACTGAGTTGTTGAATGAAGCAATAGATAAATTAAGTTGGAGGATGTAGATTTATACTAAAAATTATCTAGATTATTTTTGGAAAAGTTTTCTTTATTTCAGTCTGTATTTAAGTGTTCAATGTTAGATGTCAGGACCAAAATCAAATGCTAATGGTAATTTTTACTTTCATTCAGGTTTTTTTTTTCAGTAAGGCTGTGAGAAGTGTCACTTGATATATGTTTAAATACATACTCACTGTAGAGGTGAGATGCTTTGTCAGGTCAGAGTGTTGCTCCCTGCACTTGAAAGCTGAGACTTTATTGAAGATGCTGGAAGACTTGAGGGAGGTTTTCCTGAAGCTGCACCCTTCAGTCTTTGCTTCCTGTAACTTTTCCTGGATTTTGAGGGGAAAAATGCAGTCCTTAGTGTTTGCCTAAAACAAGTATTTCAGAATGACTCTGCAAGTGGATTATAATAATTTGGATTTTAACAGAATTACTTAAAGAACTTTTAAAGTAAAAGTATGAAAAAACCAGAAATAAAGCATCTGCACAGAAATTCACTCACTGCTGTTCCCATTGCAGTAGTTGAACTGAATTGGTTGCTTGATGTGCTGGACATACTGGTGTTTGATGGAGTACTGAATATTGGTGCTGATGGGGAGAGAAATGACAGGGGCTATTAGAAGACAGCAGTCTACTCTGTGTAGGGAAAATATTTTCCAGCAATCTGAAGTAATATTTCCAGACTTCTCTACTGGCTTGATGCCACTACCTCAGAGATAAATGAAGACTAACAATTACTTACCATATAACTCACTGTTTGACTTTTTAAAAGAGATTTAACCTTTAACTTGGAGGGTTTTGGACTGCAGTGCTCAGGGAGAGATCATCAGTCACAATCATTCCAAGTGTGTATGAAAATCAAGGAAGTCTTGAGGTGTTGATATGACTCAGTATTGTGCATTTTCTTTGGTGAACAGGCGTGTAAAGTTGAAGACCTTGGGAAGGTAGATTTTGAAGAAGAAATTAAGAAGAGATTTAAAATGGTTTATGTGCCAAACTGGTTCTCAGTGGACTTGAAAACCGGGGTGAGATACAACTCCTACATCTTATGGCTTTAATGTCATATTTCACGTTTTTTCATATATTGTTTGTTCAAAAAAGGTTTAGTTTGTTACCTTCAGAAGAACATTCATTGCTTATTTAGTGGATTAAATTTATTTTCAATTAAAACAGCAAATTTTACCTCTTTTTAATAATCAGAATAACAGATTTTTAAATTAATTTTTTACTTGAGGTATAGTCCACCAATACCAATTATGAATTAATACAGTTTGGTAAAGAAAGTGTGCTGTCATGCTTTCAGAAATTCTTTGGTTTGTAACCAAATTCTTTGGTTTCCCAGCTAAGTAGGAGTAAAGTTAGAAATCCATAGACTTAGTTAATCCCAAATAACTATTACATTCCTTGTGGTCTTTTGCCAACAGATGTTGACAATTACTTTGGATGAAAGTGACTGCTTTGCAGCCTGGGTTTCAGCAAAGGATGCTGGATTTAGCAGTCCTGATGGTTCTGATCCAAAATGTAAGTTTTAACTAATAAGTGTTTTATTTTAACAAAGGAATCAGAGTAAATTCCATTATATTTGTTTTCAAGTATTCCATTGCCACCTATGTCAGTATCTGGTTGGATTTTGAGGCTTATTTTCTTAATACTAAATTCTGTAGCATATTCTCCAAAGAAAGTATTTCCTTTTTTTCTGAAACAGTCATGTTCAGGGTTTACATTTAATTGTTTTAAACCTTTAAGATGAAAAAGTGAATAAGTAATTATAACCTAATGTAGAATGCTAAAGCACAAGAGTTATCCAACATCAGGGATTCTAAAATCAGCTTTTCCTGAAAGATTGAAACATGCAGCTCTCAGATTGTGGCAGGCAGATTTCTGTGCCCATAAATAGTTTGCTTTGGGAACAGACCTGCTCAAACTTGTGGGGAATTTTCAGCTGTAGATCAAATGAACAATATTACGTTGCCCATTTTTTTGTGTGATTGAAGTTCTGCCTCCCTGTGTGTTGACAGTAAACCTTGGAGGGCTTCTGCTGCAAGCACTTCTGGAGTATTGGCCTAGAACACATATCAATCCAATGGATGAAGAAGAAAATGAGATAAACCATGGTTAGTGTTTTAATATTTTCCTTTTATATTACTCGTCCATGCATTGTTTGTTTATATGTTTCTTAAACAGATACATTTGTTGTTCTTACACCTATCTTTTTGTGGATTATAGACTTCATGTTTTCTAGCACTTCTAAATTTGCTTTGCACCAGGAAGTGTGTTGTACTTCCAAAAGTATCAACAAAAATCTTAGGTCTGTCTGTAAAAAAAGTAGGTGAATAAATTATTCTGAAGTTACAGAAATATGTTGAAAAATAATGATGAAACACAATTCCTGGCAAACTGAGGCTTGACTTGGAAAAGAAACACTAGATAATGACAGCAAATAGCAATAATTGAGTTATCCAACACTAGCAAGTATTCTCTTGACATAATTCCAGTTTTCTTCTAGGTATTGTGAACAAAATAAAAGCTTTATTGGAAAAAATACAGTCAGTGCAATAATACATGAAGTAGCACCTTAGAAAAACTCCTTAAAGTGGTGTTTAAGGTAATAATGCTAAGTCTAATCAGGCCTTAGATGCAAGCCATGTAAAATATAAGGTAGAGGCTGAATTTGGCAAAATAAGAGACTCTAATCCTGAGTTGGAAATCAATTCAACCCAGGTCAGAGTTAACTGAAGTCTCATTTTTGGTGATTAAGAAATTACTTTGTATAGCTAGATGATGCAATTAACAAAACTGTGCATTCAGCATATCTCACTGCTTTGTGACAAGACTGTGCCAAGAACTAGTTGCTTTCTTCTTTCTAAACTGGCCTCCAAGGAGGTTCAGAGCTCTTGGCAGACTTTTCTGGATCCAGCTGCTGATTCTCAGACTGTTGTGCATTGGCAGTTTGCAGCTTAGAGCCAGACAAGGCTTGAGAAGTGTCACTCACAGCTTCTGTGCTGTTGGATTGTTGATGCTACACTCCTTATTCCTGTGTAGAGTTGTGGATTAGTGAAATGTTTGGGGTACTCCCAACAGAATGTTTTCATTGCCCTTCTAAAAGTAAAAAATCAGGAGACTGCCACTGAGCAGTGACTTGAGAAGGTGGAATGTAGCTGTTGGACACTGGCATTTTTGTAGAGATACAAATTTTAATAAACACAAACTATGTGCAGTGTTGTTCCTTTCAGTTATTCAGAGAAGTGTTAGGAAAAAATGTTTCAAGCTACAGGATTTTTCACTTGCTGTAACTTTAGTATCATGTTTACCCTTGCAATATAGATTTTCTTTTTTTGTTTCTTTGCTTGCTACAATTTCTGACCTTTCTTTGCCTACATAAGTTTCTGGTTAGAAAGCTGAGCAATCATTCATCTCATCAAGTCTGTGCCATTTCAATTTCTTAATGTTGCTTGAATTCAACACCTCTTCAAGCAGTAATGAGGTGCTACAGTGTAATGGAGATGATTTTTCCCAAGTGCAAGTCAGGCATCCAAATTCTACATTGTTTCAAGACACCTACTGATTAGAAGCTGCACTGTTCAAGAGGTGTATAAATAATGCTGATTTTTCTTTAATCTTATGCTATATGGAATCAGGTTCTTCTGGTCTTCTTCTTTGAAGACCATACTGCTGTAATTAGCTATAATGAATTGAATTTGTAACAAAGGAAGTTCAAGGCACTTTGAGTCTGAACTTTCCTAGTACATTGTTTTGATATCTGGCAAATCCAGGTAGAAGAGCAGTGCAAACAACCCTTCAGAGTTCTGAAGTACTGTCACTCTAGAGGGAAGAATAGTCTCTTCTCAGCAGAGTCTCTCTTTAGTTGATTCCTAATTTTAGTATTGTTCAGTTTGACAAAAGAAATGGGGAATAAAACTCATATTTGGGTTTTGACTCCTGGGCATTATTTTCTGTTTTTCACAGGCTTTTTAAATAGTCCCTCCACAAACCTGTATTGATCTTGTTACTCTCCAGTGTTTTTTTATATACTTGCTGTATCTTGGAAATGGGGATTTTCTTCGTCTTCATGATCTTATTAATTTACAAAACGTATCTGCTGTAGATGGCATGGGTGCCCACTTTTAAGGCCTAGTGCAGATTCACCACTGTTTTATGTGTTTTTTTCCAACAGTGAATGGAGAGCAGGAGAACAGAGTCCAGAAAGGAAATGGATACTTCCAAGTGCCACCACATACACCAGTTATTTTTGGTGAGGCTGGAGGACGCACTTTGTTCAGGTATAAAAACTTAAAAATACAACCACAGTGGCTGAACAATCCTTTTCTTAGTGCACGCAGGAATGTTATTAGAAATGTTCTTTGGATCTGTTCTGTGCATTTAAGACATGCCCTTGAAAGGCAAAATAAGCAGCTGTTGATGATGATTTTATGATGATTTGTCCAACTGAGCATGTGAGTTTGAGCATCAGCAAGGTGTGGGGTTTTAAAGCAGTAGGAGTTGTGTATAGTCCTTAGTTGTGTGTGAGATTTCTGGATGCCCTCTTTCTGCAAACTGATAAATTAAACTGTTCTAAAATGAAATTGTGCTACTTCAGACTCTTGTGTGTTGTGCTGACCTCTGAGAATGAATTACTCAAGAGCTGCTACTCACTAGAGAATTGGCTTCTGCTCCCAGAATTAGTTGATAAATCCAGTAGAAGGTCCTAATCCCTGCCATACAGGTTCTGTATTGCAACGTGTGTAATGGTTACCCTTCTGTGTCTTATGTTACATTGAAAAACCCAACTGTAATATGTGATACATCAGAGACAGTTTAATAGTGCTGCAAAACAGGTGCTGAGCTTGCAAACACTGAATTGTTTGATATTTACTGATATAGTGGATTTTAAATTTAAGGGGTGGGGCACGTTTGATTTGTTGGTTTTGTTTCCCAGGCTGAACAGGCCCCAAAATGCTGTATCTTTTGGTCAGTGAAACAGGAAACCATTTTCTGCTTGGAAAATTGACTTTTTCTCCTACAGTATCCATGTATTTATGTTGTACCTGGGGCTTAATATTTGCCTGCATTCTGTTCTGGTGCATCTTCCCTCTTATGCTGCTGCTCCCCAAGAGAACACTGGAGAGACCCCATTGAAGGGAGCAAGCCATGTTTGTGGGACCTAAAAGGTGGCTTGCAGGACTATGACAAAATACCTCATTGCGATTTATAAAATGAAATGTGGCTTTTTTGCATCATTGCATGGGCACATTTCCTAAAACTAGTTTTATTCTTTTCTTCAAGTGAGGGCTTAGCAGATGCTTTATATGCAGAACTCACTTTTGTCAAGGAGAGAATTGCTTTATGCCAGGTGCCTTTCCCCTTCTCCTGACAGTTCTGTATTTCAACACAGACATAACACAATCCAGAGCAAAGCACTTTATATATTTTCTGTGTCAAAGCTGTAGTCTGAGATCCTACTCTCTGTTTCTGGGGTCTGTCTTCCTACAGCTCCTTCTGCTCTTTACAGAAAATAGGATCATGAACTTACTGGGAAAGAGATTATCTAACAGTGCAGGCTCCCTGCCCATTAAAACTTCCCTTGAAAGCTTTTTAATGCAAATGGCAATAATTGTTATTACAATAAAGGTTATTTCTTTGTGTCTCAGGTTGTTATGTCGGGATTCAGGTGGTGAAACTGAATCCATGCTTCTTAATGAAACAGTGCCACAATGGGTAATTGACATCACTGTGGATGTGAGTATTGGGTGTAAAAGTTTGGCCTTTTTTTAAGGTTTTTTTTACGATGTACTACAATTAACTTCACAGTATCTGAAATGACATTTTAAATTTTTGCTGTGTTTGTATTTAAAATAAGTGGTTTCAAGGTCTGTAATCAAGACCCTTTGAGATGCATCATTTTTGATGTGTCTAGTTAAAATACTTCTTGCTCAATTTCTTTTGACAGACTGTCTTAGATAAAGAATTCAAAGTCCTGTGCATAATTGATATCCTTTCCTAGTGAGGAACTCAGGAATAGAGAATTCACTTCATATTGCTGCTGTCTTTTGATACTATCTAATTGCCTTTGAAATAAATGATAATTTATATTCAAAAGCTAGATGATCTGTGCATCATGTAAATTGAAGTGTCTCAGGAGTATGAGTAATTTGGAAGTTGGCTGTGGTGGGAATGCTGATTAGGAATCTCTCATGAGTTTTGATAATTAGGAGCTGAATATACTTCACATAGCACATGCTGCTGCAAATAGGAGCTGATAATGGTTCATCCTAAATTAACACTTCTGAAACTTGTTTTCTTCTAGAAAAATATGCCCAAGTTCAATAAGATTCCCTTCTACCTCCAACCTCATTCATCATCAGGGGCAAAAACTCTAAAAAAGTAAGTAATGCAAATATGACTATCAACACTGAATATCCAAATTGCAGGAAAAAACCTGCAAACTTAAGGAAGAAAAACCAATAACCAAAAAAAAACCCCAACAAAGCAATTCACTGATCTTTCCAGAGAATTTTTCTGTGCTTGATGAATTTGTAGAAGCTCTTAGTCATTTAGCAGCATTGCTCTGAAACAACAAGTTCTATCAGAATACTTAAAAGAACTGTGGATGTGGGTTCAACAGACAGTTGTACAAGTTTATGCTAAGAAATGTCTAAGAACTAACTAGTGAAATGGGACTTTGTCTTTTGTGGTATTTAATCAGAAAGCAGATTAATTTATAGATTGATAGATTGTTACTCTGTTCAGAACCACAGCTTTGTTTCCTGTTGCCAGCTGAGATGAATAATTGCTTTTTGAAAGGAAAAGGGATAAGTAGGGAATGCAAATTAATTTGCCAGTCACATGAGCTGTAACTGGGAGCTGGGTTGGTTAGAAATCAATGTAGATTTTTATTTAATTAATTTAATTTAATTAATTTAATTAAAAATGAGCTGTAACTGGGAGCTGGGTTGGTTAGAAATCAATGTAGATTTTTATCTGGTCTTTTGAATATCTCAGCTTATTTTCTGAGTTTTTTGCTGAGTGACTCTTTGGATAAATTGCTGTTGTGATCATGGCATTCTGGATGGTCCTGATAATTTACTACTAGACAATATAGAGATGATCTCTGTATAGTTGCATAGTTTACTACAGCTAAGGAAGGTGGTGTGAAGATAAGAAATGCAGTTTGTTTCTGAAGTTTTTCCTGATTAAACTTCTCTAACTCCTGTAGAGACCGGCTGTCAGCCAGTGACATGCTTCAGGTGAGGAAGGTGATGGAACACGTGTATGAGAAAATCATCAACTTGGACAATGAGTCTCAGACAACGAGCTCCTCAAACAATGAGAAAGCAGGAGAACAAGAAAAGGAGGAGGACATTGCTGTGCTAGCAGAGGAGAAGATTGAACTTCTGTGCCAGGACCAGGTAAGTTCTCTGTGATCAAAACCAGGCTCTAGCAGTGAATTAGTTGTGAATTTTTGACTTTTGAGCTTGAAATATGTTATAGATTATCTGTTACCTTTAAAACTAAGTAAATGTTTTGACATTGTTAACTTAGTGCTGACACAAGTTTCTGACAGTTGCAGTTAGGCAGATGAAGGAATTTTCATAATAAACCTGTTTAATTTGGTCTGGCATGGGGCCCTTACAGGGTCACTTGCTCATAGTCAACAAATGGGCTTAACACAATTCCATAGAGTTGTATTTTTAGCATTTTTGGAATGTTTTGACTTCTGCATTTTTGGCAGTTTTCAAAATTGGTCCAAAACCTAATAAGTATAATGGAGATTAGGCACTGAATAGGTGGTCATAATCTGAAGTTACATGTTACTCTGCTAAAATCCTTCAGTAATGCATCGGGCTCAGTTGCTAATCGAAAAATCTGAGCCTTTGCATGGCTCCTCTTGGTATCAGTTTTCAGTTTGGTTTTTTTAAATTTCTGTCAGCAGACTTGTGGAGTAAAAGCTGCCTTTTTGCTGTGTAGGTTTTGGACCCCAACATGGACCTTCGAACTGTAAAGCACTTCATCTGGAAGAGTGGCGGGGACCTGACGCTTCACTACCGCCAGAAATCGACGTGAGGGCAGCGCGGACCCAGAGCGGTCACTACTGACTTGACCTTGCTGTGCTGGTTCCAAGAGTAGTTCTAGAGCAGCCCTGAACCCCTAAGGTAGAATGAGACTTCTAATGCCTCAGTATGGACAGGAAGCAAACATTTAATTGAAGTGACTAATAGACCTGTAATATAGAGGAAAAAAAAATTCTATATGACTTAAACTAAAGTCTGTCCTAGTCTCAGTCAATGAGATGGGAGGTCCCTGAGTGGTTTGTGTTGTGTGAGGTGTACAGAGAGTGGATGATAACCCAGTGCAGACTTTTGCTTCCTCCTTTTTGCTTTTGGTTTTTTTTCCAGAACATAATCCCCTCATCTGCTCATGCTCGGTATCAAACAGGTTTGGCCGTATTAGTCACTGTTCACAATGTAATTAAGAACTGCACACAAGGTATTTTTAGTACATTCCATTCATAAAGTTCCAGCAATGATTTCTCACAGATTACTCAAGCATTTCTACCACTAAAAGAAATTTGGAAAACACCAGAAAATAGTTATTGAATACTTGAATCAATGGGCCCATTTAATTGCAAACCAAGGGTTAACATGAGAATTGTTTTAATTGCTTTAGAGAGCTGTTGACATGCAAGAAAAGAACACTAGAAAGATATCAGAGCAATGTGAGTCCAGTGATGCTGTGCATCATAATAGAGTGAACGTGCTTTGCAGCAACTTAGAGATTTTTTTTTTTTTCTAAATATATATAACTTGGTCCTGCACTGTGTCCTAGGTGTTCTAAAGACACACCAGTCTAATTTTTGGTAACTGTGCTCCAAAAGTATGTGACATTTTGTTAAAACTTCAAACCATTCTGATTATAACTTCATATGTTTAATGTTAAACTTAAACTTCTCAGCAGATTTCATATTCATGGCATAAAAATACTGATTCTTCTTTTCTGAGGTTTTATATGCAATTGTTCTTTTGTTAGAGATTTATGCAGATCTTGTTTTCACTGCTATTTCTAAAAATCTGTGACTGTCCTAGGCTCATGGTAATCTTTTATAGAAGTTTAACTTATTGGGGGGAGGGAGGGTAAGGGCCTTTCAGCTTTTTGTGAGGAAAATGTGGGGATATCCCAGAAAACCATTTGTAGCCAGAGCAAATTAGAAGTCCTCGTAGAGAAATGGTTTAAAAATTACTCTTGTCTGAAGCAGAAGCACAAGTGCCTTCAAGGGGCAGTATATTATTGGAGTTTCTTCAGGAGACAGCCCTTCCTGTATCTTGTGATCAAGATTTAGGTTGAGGCCTAAGGAAAGTCCCAATAAATTATATTACTGGGATTGTATTGGTCAGACAAAAAGTAAAGTATTTTTCATCATGTTTTATTTGAAAAAATAGTCAAAATATAGTCAAAATAGTCATTCCCTTCTGCACTTTAAACCCAGCAAAACAAGTTCATTGCTTAGACAAAACCATGGTTCAAAATTCAGCTAGCATGTCTTTTCCCATCTTTTGAGAATCAGGTTCAGTTTTCTATCCCCATTTCTGTGTATGCTTCGTTTGACACAATTGTGCTTTAACTGCACATTTTTAGTGCTGTTTGTGAATTAAATGGTTAAACAGAACTGTAACTTTTATTGGTAATCTGTCCTGACTTGTATTTATTACTAGCAAGGGTCTTTGTCTGTTCCAATAGGCACTGTTTGGGTTATGTTTTGTTTCCTGGTTGTCTTCCTGTCCTATTGTATACATTGGAGTTGCTCACAGTAATTTTTTGTTTGAAATCAGCCCAAGGTTGTAACTTTCCTTCTGTTCTTTCTTTCTAACCATCCCAAAACACAGTAACAGGAAAGATTAATGGAAGAGTCTGCAATGCCAGAAGGGTAAATGATGTTTCACAGTTGTATAGAATAAAAGGCTTTAGTTAAAATATTTTCAAGTTGTTTTGTGTACTAGATAAATTGTGCAATTTTGGAGCTTGAATTTAACAAAGGGCTTCAGAGTGCTTTGAAGCCTCAAGTAATGCAATGGCTGAAGAAATGGCAATGCCTTAGCAGAATCCTGTGAAGGTAATCTTGTAATGTGGTTGGATGTAAGAATTTCTGAGGTGAGCAGACCTTCAGATGTGAGCTCTGAGTCCTGTTGAGGCGAGAATGTCACATGGGCAGTGCTGCTTTTGTACCATGAAAGTATTTTGTGCTAACAAGTGACTTGTGCCAGTTGCTTCTGAGCTGTCTGGGTGTGGAAACGTTGTAAGAGGCACATGGGAAACCAAGCTGGGTTTCCTGATGTTGAAAATGCCAGGACAGAATGCTCAGAGCTTTTGCAATGGGAATTGTGAGCTGAGCTGCTCTCTCTGAGCACACAGTAATTCAGTGCCCAGGTGTGCTCCCAGATTCCTAGCTCTGACTTACTTGGTGTATAAAGTGAGAGAAGGGTTTTTTTGCTACTACCTTTTAAATTCTGTCACCTTTTCTGGAGTTGTGCTTTCTGTAAGAGTCCTGAAGGCAGAAGGAGGAGAGCTTTGAGTTAATTTGAGAGTCACATACCCTGGGAATGTTGTGAGCAGAGAGTTTAAGATTGCCAGAATCATAGAGAAGGCAGCAGGTTTGCAAAAGTTATTTAATTTTAAAGTTCATAATGGGAAGGAGTTGTAAATCTGGTGTTTAGTAGTGCAGCCTGTCTTCTAGAAAAGCATTTAAATTTTGTATGACAGGTAATTTTTTATTCTCTGTAGATGGGGTGGGACTGAGAACAGGAGAGCTTGGCTCAGAACTTGTAGCTGAAGTGTAAGTATCATTTTAGGATGAGGAGAACTGCTTGAAGGACTTACCAGTTACTTTAAGAAACACTTAAAAATATTCAAGATAAGCTCTAGGCAGAAAGGTTGTGGACTCACCTTCCCTGGAAATGTTCTAGGCCAGGCTACATGGGGCTCTGAGCATCCTGTTCTAGTGGAAAGTGTCCCTGCCCATGGCAGGGGATTGGAACTGGATGAGCTTTATTACAGAATAATAAATGGTTTGGGTTGGAAGGGACCTTAGTGTGATTCTACCTCTTGGTCTTGGGACTTATTAGTTGGATTGTCCAGGTATTCCCCAGGAGAGGGGCAGCCAGGGGCTGGCAGGGCAGTTACTGGTATACAGACATTACACCAAGGTAAGATTTTTCCTTTCACAGAGGTCCTGTTTGATTCCAACTTTATCCCTAGAAATGTATTGAACTTGACATTTGGAATCAATCTTGAAGCACATGATCTTACACTGTGGATGTGGTGCTGGCTCCTGAACAGAGCCAGGTAGAGTCCCCTCCCAGCTGGATAACAGAGCTGTTGGGAGCACACACACACTTACCAGGAAAGTGGTTGATTGAAAGAGTTCCCTGTACTACATGGAGGTTTTTCTGTAGAGCTGTGCAAACACCAGCAGAGCAGAGGTGCTGACTGGAGCCTGGGTGGGACGTGTCTGATCTCTCTCTGAGGACATTATGACACTTATTCCAAATGTATTTTTCAGGGGACTCTGAATGTTTAATTATATATTACACATGTAATAGGCTGACTAGAGCCTGGGTGGGACGTGCCTGATCTCTCTCTGAGGACATTGTGACACTATTCTAAATGTATTTTTCAGGGGACTCTGAATGTTTAATTATATATTACACATGTAATATGTATGTAATATGTAATAATGACATATTAATTACATATTGTAGCTTAGAAATGTAACTTTGAGCAAACAGTTGAAATTTTGCTACAGCAGAAGCAATGCCAGTTAAGTGTTTCATTAAGGCAAAAGCCAAGAAGGAGGTTGTGTGGGCAGTGCTCAGGAAATGGAGCATGCTAATCAATGCAATTAGTAATCTGTAGCTGCTTTCTCTTAAGAGCCTGTTCTTGTGTTACTGCTTGGAGGTGAAAATACTTGTCCAGTTTTGGGACAAGATGGAGAATGCATGTGGAAGTACATGAATTTACCAGTACGTGTGAGTGATGTGATCTCTGCTCAGCATTGCAGAGATCCATTTTCCTGCTTTTCTGCAGCTAAGTGTTTCTGAGCAGCCACTGCACAGAGCCTAGAGCAGTACAGCAGGAGCTTCAGGAGACCTGCTGTGGAAGTTTAAGAGGGAAAATTAAATCATCACTGCCTCAATTTGTTGTTAAAATAGTTCTGCTAGTAGGTGCTCAACATCCACATTCACTCACTCAAGTTCAGCTAGAATAAGTCCAGCATCCATATTGCTGTTAATAATGAGATTTGCATGTTTATCTCTATTTCCTTATCATGATCTTGGGGCTTTACCATCATTCCCAGTACAGGGTTATGCTGTATGGAAGGTTCCCATGGATCAAATTAGCCTCTCCTGGCTCAGCCCCATCGGCCCTGGGTGCTGTGGCCTTGGCAGGAGCAGGGCTCAGTGCAGATGGGCTTTGCCCAATCCTCACTCTAAAGCTTGAGCTGCTGGGAGCCTCTGTGGATTGAACGTCGGCCAGACCTGTGTCCTCAGGCTCAACTGGTAATTCCAGGGAGCAGCTCAGCTCTGGCAGCTCATCCTGTTGTGTCTGGCCATACAAATCACCCTGCTGCTGTAATGTCTGAGGTGACCTCCTTCTCCTCCTGCCTTTCCTCTACCCTTCTCCTGATGCTGCCCAGATAATCCTGCTTGTGTCTGCTGCTCTCAGGTTTAGAGAGTGGAGAAAGGTCACATCCAGCTGCTGCTTACCTGGAAACATGTTTGGGACAGCAGCAGGCTGCGTGGCTGTTTAGTATTGGCTCTGAGTCCAGCCACCCTCAGGTGTTTCTCCTCCTCTATTTAGATTTTATTTTGAAATTAAAATTTCAGTCATTTTTCTCACTTTGCACCCACAAACAGGAGTACTCCCCACTTGCTGGGCTGCAGCTGTGATGGAGTATCCAAGGGTAAGAGAAAGGAAATTTGATGAGGAGGTCCAACTCTTCACCTCATTTAGCATTTGAATGATCAGGTTTCAGGTTTGGAGAACACATTCTCTGGCTCAAGGTTTAAGTACTTGGCTTTCCAAACCCCTTCCCAGAGCCAGTTAACATAACACACAGGCTGGACACAGACTGAAGGAAGTTTAACCCATTTATTATGGTGACATTTGAAATCTAACATGATTTTTGACATTCCCTGCTCTTAGATTTCTAAAAGGTGTTTATGGTACAGAGTCACTTAAATTACCCTCTCATGGCCATTTTTGAGAAAGGTAAAGGACTAGAAACAGTCTTAAATAAACAACATGAATAAAACACTACCTAGGTGTCTTCAGGCATCAGGCTCCAAGATCAAACAAACCTAGGAAGTTTAAATTACATTTAGTTTTAGTGTTTGGCTGTTCTCCCTTGTAACAGTCAGCTGGGGGAACAAAATAGGAAATTTATTTTAGCAACATAGGAAATAAAACAGGCCCACAATTAACAGACCCTTTAGCAGACTAGAATCCAGTCAATTCTACTGCCTTTAGTTAAAGCTTGGTACATTCTTTAAAGCAACAGGTGCTTTGACAGTCCTGTTCAGAACTACTGTACTTGCAGTATTTCAGACTAACAACAGATCAAGGACAGGTTTCTTTGTCAGGGTGGACTCATCTGAAGTCCTCATGTGCTGTGACCTTGCCTGCACCCTTTGGCTGAAGCTGAGCTGTCACAGGCAGACCTGTGGGAGCCTGAGTCCCCCCTGCATCAGTACCAGATTTCAGCCCAGTCAGCTGAAAATGCAGTGACAGTGCACAAACAGAGCAGGAGCCAGGGCAAAGGAAATCAGGCAATATTGTGCTAAGTAAGTGAACTTTAGTTAATAACCTTGTACCCCATTCTCTTCACTTACAAAGGGTTTTCACTGCAGTAGCTCTATTATTGCCTATCAGCAGCTTTGAAACTCCATGATAAATCACTGCCCTGAGGATTGTAAAACCATCCATGTCTTCCATTGTTTATGTCATGCTTTCCATTACATTCAGAAGTGATTTGGAGACAAATGCAAACAAAAATAAGCTACAAAAACCAATTGCTGGTGCTGCACAACAGTCCTGTTTTATACTTAAAACAATTTGTATAAAAATAGTAATGAGTAAATAGAAAAGCACAAGCAAAGGCAAACTATTTCTTGGTCACTACAGGAGCCAGGACATTCAATCTTCACCAAAAAGATTCATCACCCCTACTTTAAAATCATCTTCAGCTTATTTCATGTAACCACCATCGTTCCCTCCCCCCTCACTGTTTATAAAACTGCAAGGCCAGCACCTGGTCCACTCAAGAGCAGAAGAGAATGACAGGACCCACCACCATGGCTTTGTCCCATCTGAGGCTGCAATTTCAAGCCCCATTGTATTTCTTTCCTAAAGAAGATACATAAAGGACTGTTGCAGAGAAGGGAATTAAACTAAGAAAAGTAAGAGTCTAGTAAGAGTACTAGAGCAGTAAGTAAAAGTATCTTAGTGTAAGAAATGCCTTGCAAGTCACAAGAACAGTCTAACCAAGGTGTACCATTAGAAAAGCTTCCTAACAATTCAAAACTATAAATATTTTTTTAATGCCATCAAACATATTGATAAAAATCATCACTAAGTCTCACTGTTCAGGCACAGTGCCTTTGTAAATACATTCAGGAGCACTTCTAGGCAAATGTGAATTCCAGAACTTGACATTCTGCCAGTGTCCAACTTGTTTCTGCATCAATTTCTCTATTGATTGGGTGATTTTGGACAGCATTCAAATTCTGAGCATAGATCAATCCATTAAACAGTGATTGGAAAAGACAACAGGATATGTACTTCATGTGATTTCTTTTCTAGTATTGTCTACACTAACAAAATAGAGTAACTGTAATTCTTTCAAGATCAGAAAAATATTCCAAGCTGTAGCACTGCAGCATTGAGCAGTCTGTAAACAGCAGCAGGGTCCATTTCACTC